AAGGCCTGAAAGCCTGCCACAAGACTAAAGCACCTTCTGGCCGGGACCCATGAAAAAGGGTCAGAAATGGCCAGACAAATCTGGGAGGAAAAGAGCAAAATCAATATAAACACTGCCATAGTCACCTCCCTACAGGTATCTTACCCACATCTGCCTTAACTGTTACAGGGTCAGGAAAAAGCACGGTTTCTTCCTCACATGCTTGCTGCTCCATGTGGCTTCCTCAGGCCTCCTTCTTATTCTCCATCCAGCTTTCTTCTTTTCTCCTCTGATTCCTTCCTTCTCTCCTTTTTTCTCTGCTCAACTCCACCCTCTTTCTGGGTGGGGCAGGGAACCTGGAACCTCCCCTTTTCCTAGGGACCACCCTTTTACACTCCCAGATTTGTCTGGCCATTTCTGACCCTTTTCAATGAGTCCCAGCCAGAAGGTGCTTTAGTCTTGTGACAGGCTTTCAGGCCTTGCTTTGAGCCAATCCCTTTGGGCAGATTTTGCCCCACAAAGGGATGGGTAACTTCAGGTGTTTGATTTAGAAATTAGATTCTTTGTCTTTTCTGGATTGTGTACTGATTGTATTAAAGTTCCCTTCTTAAAGTTCTTTTATTTTGATGTGGCGGATGGCAGAACCTATTTAGAGCTAGGTTTAGGGGTTCAGTGGTGCCCCTTTCTCTGCCTTGTAACACAAGGAGAAGAGGGTACAGGTTTTATTATTTTCACACTAGTGGGCACCAGATAGGAGAGCTCTCCTGGAAAGATCTGGACTATTAACATACACATTTCCTTTTATACTTGGTTAGCTTAACATAAATTACATGGGTAGATTACATTTTGAATATACAAGGTCATTTAGAAGGGGGAATTTTGTGAAAGAGGCTAGCTAGCTTTCCTCCTTCCTCTTGGAATGCAATCTTGTTAGTATAAAGACCATCCATAAATCTGTCAGACAAAAGGAGAATCTGCAAATGATAAGGGAAAGCAAACTTGCTCATTGCACCTGGGTTGGAATGTTTATTTAATGCTACTTTTACTGCATTCATTTTTATATGTATTTTTTCCTTTCAGTAAGAGCAATTACCTTGACCATGAATGTAGAAGTAGCTGGCTCCTCAGCCCCACCCCTGTACCCCATACGTGCACACATTCTGTGTCAAAGTTCATTGCCCAAAGATGGAGGCTAACAGTAAAAAAATTTGGGAAGTAAACATTACAAGACCAGAAACTGGAGGTGGGGTAGAAATGATTAACATAGTTATTACACAAGCTATAGAATAGAGTATGGAAACCCAGACCAGAGATTGGGATATGGAGATTGGGGGCCATTATAAAAAAACAAACAAACACACCAGTCCTTTCAAATTCACCAAGTCAAACTAAATATAGAAATAAATCCTTAAGTGTCAACCCTAATGATTTTAACAGCAGTTAACAACCCCACAGAGGAATGGACTCCTTTCAAAGAGAAGACTCTTACCACTGCACTGACAAGAGGCAGCTCTCCATCCCACCTGTGGCTATGCAGGTGTTTCTCTTCACCAACCTTCTCCCTCTGCAAAGCAGTAGAGGCAGCTCTCCTCCTGAGGAGTTAGACATTGACACAGGCAAACGGGGACATAACCATGGGGAAAGAACAAGAGGGAAATACCAGAACACTGCATAGGAAGGGCAGGCTTGAAACATAATATCAAATGCTTATTAGGACAAAAGTCCTAAGCCACCAATGAAGAACTTGCAAGACCAACACCACTTCTAGACCCAAAGCCTTCCCACTGCTATAAAACCCTGATGTGTTCTTCACTTAATGGCAGCCCTTTTTCCAGACCCCTCACTTGCAGGAGCTGTCTGCCGCTTTATCTGTCTTTCCATAAATCTACTCAGGCCTTCTGGTTACTAGTAGGAGCTGGCCTTGTTCTTTAATAAAACTCTTTTGCTTTGCTCACTGTTGGGAATGAGGTGGGATTCATTCTTTGTTCCTCCAGCATGGTTCCTGGTTAGATTTGTGTCATTCCCAAAACTGTACCTGTTACTATGCAGGTGATGGAGGAAAAGAATAGAAAACCTAAAGGAGACATCACAAGGTAAAAAGCTGAATAAAGCAAGGAGGTTGGGGGCAAGTCCATAAGTCCCAAACAGGTATCAGACCGCTATTGGGAGTGTCAGAAACACAGACTAGAGGGTAAATATATAGAGATTGCACCTCCCTGGTGGCGCAACGGGTCACTATGAAGCTAGCAGCAGCCACTTCAGCACAAGTTTGATCCCTTGCTAGGGAGGTGACCCACATGGTGTGGCGGCAGACCTTATCTGCCTTACCCGCTGCTTCCCTCAGCAGTGTATTTCAGTCAATCTGCCTGCTCTGCTCCTCACTCTGTCTCCCTCTAGCCTGTACCTGAGTTCTGTATGCATAAATAATCTTTAAAAAAATACAGAGGTTGGACCCATTGGCCCATTGTGAAATCTCCAGTCCCTTTATGACTCCACATAGTTCTCCCAAATCAGCAGCAAACAGGCCAATCCACAAAGGAACCCCTCACAAAGAGAAAAAGATTCTATCATTGCAGTTTCTGAACTGCCCCAGGGCAGCAATCCTCTGAACACCTGTGCTTATGGGGGTGCTTCTTTCCACCAACTCTGTCTCTCTACAGGGTAGCAGCCTCCTGTATGCCCACGACCTATTCCATGCTGGGACTTCTTTTTACTGACCTCCCTCAGCAGAGGCTAATCTCCTCAGGGCTGCCTGCCTGCAACCACGCAGGCCTCTCTCAGCAAACCCTTTTAGGGCAGCTCTTCCTGCCGGCTTGTGTTTATGCAAGTGTCTTTATTCTTCTCTCCCCTTTCCCTAATAAACCTGATCTTAAAATATAACTAACATCTCTATCTCATGGAGAAGTTTGCCTGGGAAACTCACAAGGGGAGCTCTGGTGAAACCTTTCCCAGAGTGAACCTAAGTATCACACACTCCAAACTCATTTCCAAAAAACCACATCACTGGCATCTCTATTACCAAACTGTTAGAGGGCAACCCCAATGTGCAGGACATCCCTTCCCCACAACAAAACCTGTCCCTTTCAGGGGTAGCTCTCTCTACTAGTTTGTGTCTGTGCAAGTGTTCTTTACTACCCTTCCCTTTTTATAATAAACCTATTCCTTCGGATATAAGTAAATGCCTCTATCTGGTGGAGAAACTTGCCTGGGGAAACTGTGCTGCTGAAAGGTGAGCTCTGATGAACCTTTTCTCAAAGGTAACCCAAGGACCCCGATCTCTGAAACTAAACCTCTCTAGACAGGCTTTGCTTAAGACCAGACATCTCAGTTGATACAGGTTATTAAAGAGCCTCAAGCCCTTCTTGGCACCCAGACAACCTTTCCTGTCCCATCTGCTGCTCCCTCTGCAGTGTATTGCAGTAGATCTGCCTGTTCTGCTCCCCACTCTGTCTCTGGTGCATCCTCTCATCCCGGTGCCCCCAATCTCTGGACTCCACCTCAGGTATTGTGTGCATAATAAATCTTTTTTAAAAAACAGCCTGCCTTTCCTGTTCTCCACTCAGTCTCTGGTGAATTCTTTCATCCTTTCACTTCCAGTCTCATCCATACTTCTCCTAGATGTTATAACTTGTCTCAAAACCTTTTTACATTCCCCATAGTTACCTAAACTTACCCTCTTTCCTTATCTTGCTTTCTGCCTACAAAAACCTTTCATTTTATATAGCTTTGGAGCGCTTTTACTTGCTAGATGGGATGCTGTCAGATTCACGAATCCTTTACTAAAGCCACATGTATCTTTAAAAAGAACTCAGATTTTGTTATTTTATATTGCTACCTCCCTATTTGCGAGGCTGTTGATAGAGTACTGGCAAATGTCCACATCATTTGAGCTTATTTGCTTATTTTCCCCTAAAGATTATATTTGAACTAATGCCTTTCTTGGATAATGTGTGATTCACTAGGCCCTGGGCCGCTCAAGTTGCAGAATCGCACCCGCAACCCCCTCCCTGCCCCCACCCCCGCCCCCGCTCTCGCCCCTGCTCCCGCCCCAGCTCCTGCTTCCCTGTCCCAGCATTCCAGGCGCTTCCCGCGCTCCCCTGTTCCCAGCATTCCCCGCGTCCCCCAGTTCCCGGCGCTCCTCGCGGCCGCGGCCCTCTTCTAGGTGAACACCCCCCGGGCTGCGACGGTTAGCACGGCCTTGGCCTCACCGCTTGGTCCCGCCTGCGAGGCCGGAGTCATTGGACCGGGAGCCAAGGCTGCGAACGCCACGCGCAGCTGATTGGCGGCCTCGGCAGCCTGCTCGGAGCTTCCCCCAATGCAGGAGTGGGGGGAACGTGAAGGGATTGGTTGCGCACCACCAAAGCCCGCCCTCCGCTCCCCGCGCGCGGCAGGCGGGTCCCGCGGACCGGAGAGTGCCTGGGCGGCCTTTCTAGATGGAGGAGGCGATCAGGCGGTGAGGGGCTCCTTGCTGTGGTCGGGCTGCGGGCAGCTCGGGCAGGCCGCAGGCGTCGGAGGTAGGTGCGGGGCGCGAGGGGCGCCCCGCGGGCCGGCCGGGCGGGCGAGCGCTGCGGCCTGTGCGAGGACGCGCCCTTCCCATCCCTCCCGGGCCTAGGGCCGCGGGCACGGGCGGCGGCTGGGCGGGTCCGGCCACGCGGAGTCCGGGCCATTGTGAGACATCATGGCCGCGAATCTCGGAGAACGTCGGGTTGCGGTCCCCTCTGGGGGGCGCGGTGTGAGGGGGCAGGCCCCGAGCCCAGGCTGAGCGGACACGGGTGGCTTTGCGCTTGGGCAAACGGCCGGGGTGTAAAGCTCCTTGCTCTGTGGGTCCCGAATTGCTTCCGGCGGGAAAGGCGTGAACCTGGGTGGCAAGATCCCTCTAATACAGTTTGGGATATCTGAGAAGTCACCCGTCTTTTTTTCCCCCCAAATGCTCGTGGATGGAGTGTCACGTAAATATTCAGAATGTTGTCTTATTGTAACGATGAGTGTGGTAGAAATAAATGGAAAGTGGCAACCTGTTGGCAGTGGTACCTGTCAAGTATCTTCCGATGCACATGGGTTGCTTGTGGTAGGAATTTCGTTTACCTTTTGCATGTTTGCATGTATTTTTGTTATTCGATGCACGCCAATCCAGTTTAGGGCTGTTGACTGAGAGGCCAACCACTAGGGGAGTAAGTACCCTGTTTCCGGGCTGCAGACTGGATTCCCAGTCTTGGGGCCTCAGACAGACCCACCTGCAGGTAGTCTGTCACTCAGCGAAAGAAGCCATTGACCAGTTGGTGCTGCTGCCTGTGAGTACAGGATGTGCGGTCCCTTGGAGAATGACAAAAGGAATGGATGAGGTCATACTGCTGTGAAATTGGGGGGGAGGCTGCAGTATGAGAGGCTTGACCTAAAGGCAGCAGCCACAGCACTGAACCATCACAGCAGTGTCTTAATGCTAGCCTGCAAGTGGACTCCAGTGAAGGGTGCTGTCCACTTGTTATGGTTTTACCTCTGTATCACAGATACAGGGCACCATGATAAAGAGTTTGCTGCTGGCACACAGTCTAGTTGGCAAGCAAGGCTTGCATTCATATGTTCAGTCTATTGAAATAGTGCAACCATTGGGCCACTGAGCCATCCTTTGAGCCTGGTACTGTTTTGGGGGAACACTTCTGAGGACTGTTTTGTAATGTGTGACCTTGGGGCAGGAAATGTGATTCTGACTGCTTTGCCTAGTCTTAGCCTTTCATCGTAGTAACTGTTGTCTCCTTCTTGGTGATGTCATCCAGCCTCCTGAGTTTTGCCACCTCTTCCTGACATTTCCATCTTGTCTACCTCCAGCCCCATTGGAACCTCTGAACTACCACTCTTTCTTGTCTTTATCTAGTGTTATTAAGAAGCCATATCCAAACCAAATCCTGATCTTCACCAACCTGGGAACCCTCCGATTGCTGTCTTTACCACTTCAGTTTGATAGCTCTGTCCTTGAGTTTGGAATCCCCTAGATTTCTTTTAGGTCATCACACAACCCTCAGGACCACATCTCACCATCTCTAACTTAATACCTTTTATCTTTAAATATTTATTTTATTCATGCATACAAGAGCTGGGGTGTAGGCCAGAGGGGTGTCGAGGGTGACAGGATTCACCAAAGACAGAAAAGGCAGATCTACTGAAATACACTGCTGAGGGGAACAGTGGGCGAGACAGGAGAGGTCTGCTGTGCCCTGTGGGTCAGCTTCCTGGCTGGGGATCGAACTCATGCTTCAGTGGCTGGCAACAGCTTGATAGTGCTGAGACTTAACCCCTTGTACCATGAGGGAGGCCCACTTAATGTCTTGATCCAAGCCTTTAATTCTCCTTGCTCTCATCTAGTCCTCCCTCCTTGTCTCTGATTTTTTTTTCTGCAGCAGAGGGGTTCTTTTAAAAATGCAAGATTGTATAAGACCAAGGTAGTATCTTGACTGGGTGGTAAAGCAGTTCTTCTACTTTCTGTGACCTTGAGGAAGTTGCTTCACATTTCTCAGTACCCTGTGAGAACTGCTGGGTAAAAATGCACAAAGCCTATAGAATAGAACTTGATGGAGAGTTGGGTGCCATTCCTTTTTTTTTTTTAAAGATTTATTTATTCATACAGAACTGGGGTACAGGCCAGAGATGCGGAGGATGAGAGGATTCACCAGGGACAAACTGGGGAGCAGAACAGGCAGATCGACGAAGTATACTGCTGAGGGGAGCAGCGGGCGGGTCAGGAGAGGCTTGCCGCGCCATGTGGGTCACCTCCCTGGCTGGGTATCAAACTCATGCTTCAGTGGCTGTGGATAGCTTCATATTTTAAAATGCTAAATTTTTTTAAAAAAGATTTATTTATGCATGCATGCAGAACTAGGGTACAGGCCAGAGGTGCAGGGGTGGCAAGTGGATTCACCAGATACAGGGGGAGCAGAACAGGCATATCAATGAAGTACACTGCTGAGGGGAGGTCTCACCATGTGGGTCACCTCCGGGGCTGGGGATCGAACTTGCACTGAAGCACCTGTGGCTAGCTTGCAGTGCTGGGCCTTAACCCATTGTGCCACCAGGGAGGGCCTATTCCCTTTTTTTTAAAAAAAAAAAAAAAATTTATGCATACAAGAACTAGAGTGTGTAATCCAGAGGTGTGGGGGAAGAAGGAAAGGGTGAGAGGATTCACCAGAGACAGACTGGGGAGCTGAACAGGCAAATCTACTGAAATACATTGCTGGACAAGACAGGAGAGGTCTGCTGCACCATGTGGATTAGCTTTCCTGGCTGGGGATACAACTCAGTGCTGCTGCCAGTGCTGCAGTGGGCTGTGGATAGCTTGATAGTACTGAAACTCAAACTCCTGTGCCACCAGTGAGGCCCAGGATGCCATCCATATCATTGGATCATGTGACCTCATTGCTTGGCCTCTCCTGTCCTGTGGTCCATCTTTCTGAAGATAAGAACCAAAGTTTCTGCTATACCAAACTTCTATCCAAAGGCCTTTGTTCTTTTCTGTGTTGCCTGGGAAGCCTAACCATTCACTTTTCTATGCCTTCAGATGCACATTTAATGTGAGGTCTTCCCTTTCAGAAATTGCATCCCTTTATTTTCTCTGGGTAGCACAGCACATGCTTTTCTTACTAATCTATCTCCTGCTAAAATGTGAGCTGTGGTGTAGAGATGGTTTTCTGTTCTGTGCCTCAGAATTTAGAATGGTGATTATGACACATGGAAATGGTTCAGCTAACACTTGACAGAGTAGAAATGCCTTAAAATTTAGTAAGGAACTTAACTGGTAGTTGAGGCTGAGTACTTTCCCTGGACATTCTCTCTGACCGTTTCACCTCTTCAAGGCCTTCAGTATCATTATCATCTTTGTTCTGGTATTTCTGTATTGGCTCTAGCTTATTGGCCTTTTTCATAAGGTGGTGGGCACCTTACCTGTACTAGCATTTGTGGTAGTCCATTTGTACTACTATTTGTCTCAGTCCCTCCTGTTTACTGTCTTCATGTTAGTGCTTTCAGTCTCCAGAAACATGCAGATTGGCTCTTGCTGGGTTTCCTCAGACCTGCCAGGTGCCGAGGGTGTTGGTCCTTGTCTGATCTGTGTTCTCTAGCACTGGATTTGCTGACTTTCTGTCGGCTGAAATGATCCCTATTGGCTGCCAGGAGACTGACCTTATTCTGCATAGTGTTCCTCATGCTTGTCTGACTATAGCCTCCTTAGAGTTTATAGCAGTTCTGAGACAGGCTATTTGCTATCTTTGCTTGAAGGAGCTTCAGGGGACACACCTTTGGAGGAGGTATCATGTTAAATTCTCATTGAATTCAGAAAAATAAGAACATCATAGACTCTAGGAAATAGTGACAGCAGAAGTAGTGGAAATAGGAAATAGGTAACTGCCCCCTCACCAGCTTTGTGCATATGGTGGTGGACCTTGTTTCATGTTAATGGTAGCTCCTTCCATAAAATATTTGATCACTGAATATTTGTCAAATGAATGAATGAAATCTGAAGGTACTTGTGTTCTCTTCAAAGTGCAGCCACTGTGCTCTATCCCTGTACTGCAAACACCATAAATTTTTAAATGTGGTGATTTTTTTTCTGTCCATGCACTTAGGCTGCTCCATACAGGTGTATTTGCCTCTGTGTGTGTGCATGTTCACTTGTACCTGAAGGGTATGGGTGTGTGAGCATGTGCTTCTGCTCTAGTGCCAGGCCCTCTACACACCTCTGTGTGTTTTTTTTTTTTAAGGTTTGTTTATGCATATAAGAATTAGGGTACAGGCCAGAGGTGAAAGGAGTGAGATGATTCACTAGAGACAGAGTGGGGAGCAGAACAGGTAGATCCACTGAAATGTATCGCTGCAGGGAATAGTGGGTAAGACAGGAGAGGTCTGCCATGCCATGCGGGTCACCTCCTTGGTCAGGAATTGAACTGGTGCTGCAGTGACTGTGGATAGCTTCATATTGCTGCACTTTAACCTGTTACATCACCAGGGAGGGCCCACCTCTGAGTTTTTTGGTTGCCCGTCTGTCCTGCCTTTTTAGCTTCATGCCATCCTTTTGTCATCCTCCCTCTGGCATGAAGCTTCCCAGATTTGTGTTCTCAGCCGTCTTCTTGGTTTGTGTTCTCTCTCTGGGTGACTGACGCCGCCCTCATGTATTCTGGCCCTCTGTCTCTGGGTCAGTCACAACACCAGAACTATGGCCTTAGCCTGTTGGACAGACCTGCCTGGAGGTTCATTCATTCTCCTCTTTGGGCTTCTACCTAAATTCTGGGATATGTATGTCTTTCCAAGGGAAGAACCTCATTTGCCCTCAGTTCTCTCTTGTTTCTCCTCTCCACCTCTACCCATTAACAGCTCGTCAGTTCTATGTCAGTGGTCTTTAGAGCTCCAACCCCCTCACCAGGGGTTTCATACCTTTGTCTGCTGGTCTTGAGGGCTGCCCCATATGCCTCTAGCAGAGGCACTCTTCCTGGTACAGCTGTGGAGCCTTTTTTTTTAAATAGGGACTGATTTGTGGCACAAGAATTCCCCTATCTTGATGGTCCCTAATTGCCCCCAGGACGTGCCTTGATTCCAGCTCTCTCCTATGGGACCCACTCCCAAAACAGGCAGTCTCCTATCCCTACTGCCCCCTCTACTGGGAACAGAACCATGCCACCTCTGGTGACGTCAGAACGCTCCATCACTGTCCTGTCCACGTGCCACCTTGTGGGCCCAGGAGAGCCCTGATTTCCATGGGTAGAAGAGCGCCTGGCTGTACCTCTGAGGCTCTAGTGCTGCAGAGTTGAACTGAGGGTCTCGCGCTCGCCCTCTGACTGACCCAGCCGTAGCAGGTGAGTGGATCATTGTTGCACTGATGCCCAGAGTGAGGCCACACACCTTATGTGTGTTCTGGAAAGGGGCAGGCAGTCTTACACTGTGTGATCATTTACCTAATAAATCAAGTGAGGGGAATGATGTGGTAAAGTTTAGCATAGTTTTTTTCCTAGTCATTTTGAACCTTAAGATGATCTTTTGTTTTTCTGAAGTGAGATTTAGAGTGGACAGTTAATAAAGTATTTAACTTTGGCCTTAAATTACAATTTTGGCTCTAAAGAAAAGGAGAGTTAGTTTTGAAGCCTAAATCGTTCTTGTTGGCAGCATTATTTCAAGTTCTTAATACACTGCTAATAATTCTCTTGGTACCAGAAAAGCACAAGGTTTTTGTCATTTTGTGATGATGTTTTTAAATCTCTTTGCAGGTGAAAGAAGAAAAGTGCCACTTTGGCATGAAGACAGACTCGCTTAGTCGTCAGTCATTTAAGCTGAGTGCATTGTGATTTCCAATAATTGAGGCAGTGGTTCTAAAAGCTGTCTACATTAATGAAAAGAGCAATGTGGCCAGCTTGACTAAGCCGCCAGTGTGTGCAGCGCGGGCAGGACGGCACCTGGGTCTCGACGGACTTGTGCATGTTAGCTGTATAGATTTATGTAAGGTTTTTAAAACTTTGGTCTTTTAAACTAGTCTTAACTACTTTTGCTATGGAGACATATGAGAGTCCCTCTCCTCTCCCGCGTGAGCCCGCAGGAGAAGTGGTGATGGAGAACCGAGCGTGCCCCCTCCAAGAGCTGCCCCGTGAACAGTCTCCACCACCTCCCCTGCAAACGTCCAGTGATGCAGAGGTAATGGACGTTGGCTCTGGTGGTGATGGACAGGCCGAATCCCCTGCTGAGGACCCACTCAACTTCTTCGGAGCTTCTCTTCTCTCCAAAGGATCCTTCTCTAAGGCCCGCCTCCTCATAGACCCGAACTGTAGTGGCCACAGCCCACGCACCGCCCGGCACGCACCTGCGGTCCGGAAGTTCTCCCCTGACCTTAAGTTGCTTAAGGATGTAAAAATTAGTGTGAGCTTTACCGAGAGCTGCAGGAGTAAGGACAGGAAGGTGCTGTACACAGGAGTGGAGCGCGACACTCGCGCAGAGTGCAATCTGGCCCTTAGCCCTGTCAGTGGAGACATGCATGCTTGTCCCTTTGGCGGGAGTGTTGGTAATGGGGTAGGTATAGGGGGTGAGAGTGCTGATAAAAAGGATGAGGAGAATGAGCTGGATCAGGAAAAGAGAGTGGAGTATGCAGTGCTCGATGAGTTAGAAGATTTTACTGACAATTTGGAGCTAGATGAAGAAGGAACAGGAGGGTTCACGGCTAAAGCAATCGTGCAGAGAGACAGAGTGGATGAAGAAGCCTTGAATTTCTCCTATGAGGTATGTTGGCAACCCTTCCTTTGGAGCGCTCTTAGCAAAACCCAAAGAAAAGTATTTGGGAATTGCAGTATCCTTTAAAAGCTGATGTTGCAGGAAAAAAAAAACAACAACAACCCACCTACATGAGGTGCAGTAACATTAATGTGGGAAAGGAGTCTGGGTTCTTAGCTTCCTGGTGAATTGTATGTACCTTGTACCCAATTCGTTAAAAGGTACCCTGATGTTGTCCCCAACTGTGCCAAGTTGTTGGTTTCAGTTGTTGATTTCTTCCTGCTTGTTTTTCAGGCACCATAAAGCTACATCTAGGTCCCCCTTCTTGAGAGTGCCTTATTTTGCTGTCTGTTCTCACTAATGTTTTTAAGCTTGCCAGTGGTACAGGAACTTGGGAGCTAGGGACCATAGTATCTGAATAGCATGTTTTGTAGGATGAATTTGACAACGATGTTGATGCTCTGCTGGAAGAGGGACTTTGTGCTCCCAAAAAGAGACGAATGGAAGAGAAATACGGAGGGGACAGTGACCACCCATCTGATGGCGAGACAAGTGTGCAGCCAATGATGACCAAGATTAAAACAGTGCTCAAAAGTAAGTTGGCAAGTCAGGAAGTAGTGATGTTAGCAGGGGACAGATGTGTAGGTGTGAGAGCTCTTAAGGTGTCAGGCAGCAGTTTGGGCAGTGAGCATTGTTTGTGGGCAGAATGGTGATGTCTGGTGAAGGAGTCTCAGAATAGACACAGGGACTCATCCAGATGTACACTGACCAAGGCTTACATCATGGTATATGCTGTGGAAGCTTCAGAGCAGCTGCAGTTATTCAGAGGAAGGGAGATGATGGGGTAAAGAGGGGATGTTGGATACACTGAGAGACGATGAGATGGTAGCCAGTGACTGTGCAGATAAACGCCAGAAGTAAACACTCAGTGCAGTGGCAGGTCCAGGTTCTGGATTCTTCTCTACTGAGTGTTGGAAGCCAAGAGAAGCAAGCTGGTGTTGCTGTGGCTACAGCAAGGCCATATTCTCAGGTGGGTAGGGTGGGAGTTCATGGGTACAGGTATTGGAGTTTCAGAGATGTAAGCAATGGAATTTTGTTTGGATTTGGGGAAAACAGTTGTGAAGCATCCAGAATTGTACCTGCAATGTTCCTTCATTGATGTGGTAAAGGAATCAGTGTTGGTTTTGAGCTTTCCTGGCCTGGAAGCCCCTGTGGGTGTCCAGGTGGAGATGTTGGATTGGAGGTGGAGTGTCCAGGTGCAGCTGGGCTGCAGAGAACCATTAAAATTGCTTTATCTGTTCGTGTGAGACTGCTGATGTCACAGAGAGAGTACAGAGCAAATCTTGAGCATGCAAGTGATACCTCAAGCTGAGAACCAGAGTACAGAAGATTGTGAAGCAATTAAGTGTGAAGAAATTAAGGTCAGGTGGTATGCACTCTCATCCGTGCTGGTTGCAGTCTATGTCCATGCTGGTTGCAGTATATGTCCATGTTGGAAAAGGATGGATGTTGGTTTTAGAAATAAAGGTGGAGATGAACTTGGTATCTCAGTTTCTGGGGAGGGGTGAGGAATAATCTTCATCTCTGGGAGGCTTGCTACTAAGCAGCCCACAGGTTAGCATACTTCTGGCAGTGCCTGCATTTAGCACTGCGGCTCCTTTCCCAGCCTGCCTGCTCGGTAACTTACTTAACCCACTGCCTTCCTCCTGGGAACTGCAGTGTGGGCTTCACTTAAAGACTTTGTATGAACTGCATGTGAGCTCTTCAGATGGCTAGACCAACTTTGTGGGTGCTCGTCACAAATGAGTGACCCAGATGAACCCTTGTTGTGCTTGGCTCATAGTTTGTTTCTCCTGATTTAGCTCAGCTAGTGTAAAGCAGCTTCTTCTTGGCCTTAGCTCACAGGGAAGGGTGCCTTCTAGGCATTCCTTCTCAGGGCTGTCTGACTCCAGCCATCTGTCCAGTATCAGCTGTTTGTGGGCTCACAGGGCTGGAGTCAGTGTTGCTGAGCTAGGGCCTGCTAGATGCCATTCCCTTTTCCCTTCAGTCATTTATGCCACTTTTATCATTTAGGTATTTTTTTTAGGTTCACTTCCATTTATCCTTTTGTTTTATTTTATTTTATTTTTTTAAAGATTTATTTATTTATTCATACAGAACTGGGGTACAGGCCAGAGATGCGGAGGGTGAGAGGATTCACCAGGGACAGAGTGGGGAGCAGAACAGGCGGATCAGAAGAAGTACTGCTGAGGGGAGCAGCGGGCGGGTCAGGAGAGGTCTGCCTCGCCATGTGGTCACCTCCGGGGCAGGCGGGGATCGAACTCATGCGGAAGTGGCTTAAGCTTCTTAGTGCAGTGCTTTAACCGCTGCGCCACCAGGGAGGGCCCTCCATTTATCCTTTTGCTTCAAAAATTTTTAATGTGTTTCCAGTACTTAATAAGGAATTTTTAGTTAAGCTTTTATTTATGTTTTTACCAGCAACTAGGACTGTCTGTTGCAGGTATTCTAAATAGCTCACATGGAGCAATGGTTGACAAGAGTGCATTTTATTAGCCAGGCTTTCGTCCCCGTGGCCAAAGCAGAGAGTCCACAGTGTTCACCAGTGGTAGAAGCAGGAAATGAGGTCAGGATTTGTGTTTTGTAATACCTTCTTCTGGGCCCCTTCATGTATATTGTTTAGTCCTACCTAGGCCTGGAGTATAGCAATGCATAAGGTAGACATTTTCCTGTTGTTTTGAGGAACTTAGGTTAGGCCCAGCCAAGTATATACCTGTATAGCCAAGTGGCAAGTGGGACTGGAATGGGCTATATCTGGTGGAGAGCTTTGGGTACTCCTCTACTCCTTAGATTTTAGAGGTTCTTTTCAATATTTGGTTCCCTCTACTGATGTCACCAGTCATGACATAGTTGAATAAAGATTAGCAAAGTAATGTTGGTGTAATATAGAGGTTGCAGATGTACATCATTATGTATCAGCTTATATCACACTGTAATTCTTTCTTTTTAAAGATTTATTTATTTATGCATACAGAACTGGGGTGCCAGAGGTACAGGGGCAATAAGAGGATTCACCAGAGACAGAGTAGGGAGCAGAACAGGCAGACTGATGAAGTACACTGCTGAGGGGAGCAGCGGGTGGGTCAGGAGAGGTCTGCCGCACTATGTGGATCACCTCTGGAGCTAGGGATTGAACTCATACTTAAGCGGCTGAGGCTCACTTGCAGTGGTGGGCTTTAACTCTCCACCTTTATTTCTAGCTAGCTCTTCAGGGAGGGCCTATCACATTATAATTCTTAAAATATTAATTCTAAGTGTTTTTAAAGTGATTGCAGGATGTTTTTGTTTTCTGTGCAGGTCGTGGCCGCCCACCTACAGAACCGTTACCTGATGGGTGGATCATGACATTCCATAATTCTGGAGTCCCTGTGTACCTTCACAGAGAGTCTCGGGTGGTCACCTGGTCCAGGCCGTACTTCTTGGGAACGGGAAGCATACGGGTAGGGGATGCATTTCATTTTACAAGCTTGCAGACTGAATATGTACATACCTTGTTATCATAGCCAAGCAGAGGCTGGTGAAGGACATGGGATATTCATACCTTCAGGTACATCCTTATGATCTGTGTTGTAATTTTGCTATCCACAGAAACATGACCCTCCTCTGAGTAGCATCCCCTGCCTGCATTACAAGAAAATGAAGGATAATGAGGAAAGGGAGCAACACAGTGAGCTCCCCCCCAGTGGGGAAGTATCACCTCTCAAGCCCCTGAGCCGATCTGCAGAGCTAGAGTTTCCACTGGAAGAACCTGATTCCATGGGGGCTGACTCGGGACCTCCAGATGAGAAGGACCCTCTGGGAGCTGAGGTTACCCCGGGAGCCCTGGGACAGGTGAAAGCCAAGGTTGAAGTGTGCAAAGATGAATCAGTGGGTAAGTTTTTGGATTGAACTTTATTTTTTCCTTGCCAGTCAGCATTCATCAGCATAAATATTACTGCATCCCCTGTGTTCCCTGGCCTTATGACTGAAGGCCATCAGTTGTTAGTTGTATTTGTGAAGAAGGGACTGTGCTAGGGCTTTCTTCCACCTTGGAGTTGTTGGAAACTCCACTTCTGTGATCTTAGAACCTTGTCCCCAGGTCTTATGCTCCAGGCTCCTACACTTGGGCAGGCATTGTAGGGCCTAAGTGCTGGTGCTGCCATGGAGACAGTTCGTAATAGTGCAGACTGACCTTTCTTTCCAGTTGCTTTTACGATCTTTCTTGAAGCTTGTTTTTTCAGTAGCATGTCCTCCCATATATTTGGATATATGTCCTGATGCCTTTAGAGTATCTTCAATACATGGAGTCGGCCCTCTTGATTTCTGGAATTAATTTTTGGACTGTGTGTCCATGTTTTTCATTGTTGGCATAATTCTACCCATTCCATCTTAGTCGACTCTTCAGTAATAACAAACCTGTTTTAGTCGACCTGAATTTCTTTCAAAGACGACTTTGAGGTTTCAGGATTTTAAAGTATTGCTACTTGACCTCTTTCATAACTTCTGTGTGATAGACCCTGGAAGAGCTGGGGTGAGGGTGCTGTTGTGAAGAAGGGGAGTTCTGCTTCTGGGGGCAGAGAGGGAGGAAAGCCACATCCCATTCCTAGAGAGAAACAGAGGCCTCTGAGGAGAATGATGCCTTGAGTGTCTGGGGGGAGTACAGGTTGTTTTTCTGTCTCCCCAGCTTTCCAGTGACTGGACACACTTGTCTCTCCTCAACCACTCTGTATGGCATGGGGCGGGGGGCGTGGGGGGGTCTTCCCTCCCCCACCCAAGTTGGGTCATCATCAGGAATACAACCAGAAGGGAACTTACCCTTTCTGACTTAATAGTTCATTTCTTCATAACAGCTTTTATGCACATGTGACACCTGAATGTGTTTCTGTTTTTTAAAATACCTTGCCTTCTTTGTCTAACTTCTCTCTCATACAAGAGATGGCTACTAGTATTTGATTTCCACATGTAGTTCTTGTAAAGAAAGCTGTGGTTGGGACTTATAGTTAAGTATATGGTTTCACAATTTCTTGATGTAACCATACATATCTCAGTCTTACGCACAGACCTTCTGTCCACCTTCCTCTGGTGAGCTTACACTGGGCTGTCAGGTGGTCCTCTGAGAGAGAAAGGGGTATGTGTTTACAGTGCTAAGAGCAGGGGGCCTGAGACTTCACTGAACAGCACACAAAGTATCTGAATGAACTATAGGGCTGGACCAGGGACCTCATGCAGGGTGGCGTGATGAGAGCCAATGGGTGTATTGTTGAGTGTGGGGGTGGCCAGGGGTAGCTAATGGAGTGCACATGAGGTAGCAAGAGCGGTGGGTAGTGGACACTGCAGATGGCCACTCCGCTGCTGTTGGTGGTTCTCAGTGACCTGTTTAGATACAGGAGAAAGGCCCTGGAAATTTCCTTTTTAAAGCTTTTTCTCTTAAAATTTTTATGTTGTTCCACATAAACTAAAATGATGCCCCAGACATCGCTGCATAAGGGACCTGCCAGAATAATTTGAACTGGCAGAAAGAAGAACCTACTTTTTCCATTCCTTCAGACGGAACAGGGAACAGGTAGTAGGGGGTACCACTTCATTTTAATGTGGGTTTGATGGGCAGCACATTGCAGTTTGCTGTGTGGGCAGAAGAAGTGTGATTTTTTTTTTTACATTGAATGTTAGTAATTTGATATATGGTATATGGTTAATTTTGTATAGATCTTGAGGAATTTCGGAATTACTTGGAGAAGCGTTTTGACTTTGAGCAAGTTACTGTGAAGAAATTTAGGACCTGGGCTGAGCGGCGGCAGTTCAACCGGGAAATGAAACGGAAACAAGCCGAGTCAGAGAGGCCCATTCTGCCAGCCAATCAGAAACTTATTACGTTATCTGTGCAAGATGCACCCACAAAGAAAGGTAAATTGGGGCTTATGAATTTTAACATCGGCAGGCATTCATGCTGTTATTTTGTGTGTGTGATGCTATTAATTTTCATTTGTTGTTCCCGGAATGTTTTAATTCAAAGTTTATATTTACTCTCCCACATTCATGGTGGAGAGTCCCTAATGTAGTGAATGACTTGGGAACTTGTATGGTGCCAAGTCCCAGGTGCCAGCTTGCATCGAGTCCTTGCACCATTGCTGAGATGGTCCTTCTTGTCACAGAATTTGTCATTAACCCCAATGGGAAATCCGAGGTCTGCATCCTGCACGAGTACATGCAGCGTGTCCTCAAGGTCCGCCCTGTTTATAATTTCTTTGAATGTGGTAAGTTTGACCTTCACCATCTCGGTCCTAAAGGATCACACATGTTACTTTGGTCAGCTGGAGAGGCAGTTGCTTTGAGTGCTAACTCCATTCCGCAAGACTAGAAATGAAAGGGCAGGGAGAACTGCGCTGCAGAGCAGTTCATTTTCATGGAAGTGTGCCCACGAAAGAGTGAGAGTGAATCCCCCTGCTTGTTGTTCTGTCTGCATCCCTGACCTTGCCTTTCTCTTGTCAAGCCCAAGCTGCCTTTCTGTGAGAAAGGCCTGTGACTGTGTCTCCTAATACCCACAGCGGGATTCAGGGCCTCATCCTACACCTGCCAGTTTTCTTCTGCAGTCATTCTCAATCACATTTCTGTGAAAAGCAGTTTAATTTCCCCTTGGGAACGAGAACCTTTTGCTTCTTGCTTCTTTGGCTCAGTACATCTGTGCACCTTGGCTCCTCCCCATTCCCATTTTCATCTTTCAGAGATAATGGTCCCTGGCCCTGGCAACTCTGCCTCAGACCTCATGTTTCGCCTCCAGCATGCTACCCCATGGTGTCCCCCATTTCCCATGATTTTCCTCAAAGTACTCTTCTGCTTGCTGACCATCCCTCTATAGCCCATCACCACACCTCAGGGGAACCCTCAGGTCTAACAGCAGGTACTCTTTTTTTGGGGGGGGGGGCAGTCCTGTCTTAACTCGTCTGTTGGTTGAACAGATTGTGTGTATGTGTGTGTGCAGCCTTTTAATTCTTGGCTCTAGTGTATTTTAAAACAGTAATTTTAATTTTAAGAGAACCCAAGTGAACCTTTTGGTGCCTCCGTGACCATTGATGGTGTGACCTATGGATCTGGAACTGCAAGCAGCAAAAAACTTGCGAAGAATAAAGCTGGTAATGTGATTGGGTATCAGAGGCCCATACTGTTTATTGGGTCTGCCCCTCCCTTGACTAGGGAGGGCTGAGCTAGCTGTAGCCCAGCTGGGAGGAGTGTGGGTGGAGCAAATTAGTTTTATTTATGTCATCTTCAGCTTTGAGTTTTAAAAATTATGTGCTCATTGGAAAAGATTCAGAGAAAGTAATATGTGAGCTATAAAAGTAGAAGGTCCTTTCGCTACACATTGGCAACAGGGCTACAATCTCCTGCCCTTATCCTGCCAGTCATTGATATCAGGGTATATTTAGAATGAATATACATTTTAGAGTGGGTGTGTGTTTCAGTCAAGCAGAATGTGGGCTTACAAGGCTAGACAAGAATCTGGTGGATCAGCATGCTGTTAACTTTCTCACTGAGTGGTTTTGACATTTATGAGGACTGTTTCCTGAGCCCTCTATTCTCCAAATTGGGTCTACCATTCACTGAGCAGATTCCTGGGAAAGCATATGTTTTTTGGTTAAAATCCATTGCTCTTTTTGACCATGTACCTGTGTTTACTTTCTTCTCAGCACTGGTGGTGGGCATTCTTTCCAAGAAGCCATTTTAGCCCATAATTAGGATTGTTTAATCTCTCTGGAGAGTGGACCACATTGCAGTGTGGGTGTTTGGCCCTAGGCCCTGACATCCATTGATTGAATCTCAAAATTTCTGTCATTGCCATCTTGTTTTCCAGAGCAGTTCTGCTCTTTAGAAAGTGAAGTGTGTCAGTTTTATCACAGTCTAAGTAGGTGTTGGGGTCAGTGAGTGTTTTTGTTCACAGGACTCCAGATTTCCCTTGGTGTTGCTTTCTTATGAGGGTGTATGCTAAAGATAAGAATAGTACATTACTGTCCTTCCCTCAGTGGGACTTTGCTGAGCTTACATTCCACCCCAGTCCATGAAGCCTCCTTCCATTGTAGAGGATTTTGCCAAAAGACTTTTCAGTTGGACAACTGGCTGTGACTGTGATAGGGAGCAGATAACACACAGAGTAAGGTCTGTGTGGACATGGCTCTGCTTTACTTCTCCCCAGGGGAGACCCACTTCTTCTGCTCAAATAACAGCTGCTCTCTAGACTCCCAGCGTGTTGGGAGTGGTTTCACATGCAACACCTTACCCTCTGGAGATGCTTCAGTTTCCCATCCCAGTGGCAGGTGGTTGCCTTGTTCCCTCTGCTTGTGTTCATCAAGTAGCCATCTTTGTGCTCTGTCCCTCCGGGAAGCAGCTGCTCCCTCCCAGAGTGTCCATCCAACTGACTGCTTCTCCCTGCTACAATTTCTGTAGCCTGCTTAGTCTTTAGTCCTCCCTCCTCCATCCAGGTCTTGCTGCGCCGTTTGCTCTCATGCCATCACAGTGTTCCCTCTTCCACAGCTTTCTCCTCCCTGGCCTACTACAAATAACCTCCACACAAAAGCACACATTGTTGGTGCACTTGTGAGGTGGCTTGTAGCCTGGTGCTTGCTCAACTGTCTCTTTTTGGGATATGTTTGTTCTTGGGATGTATCCTCTGTTGGCCCTAACTGTTGCTTCCCAGAGCCCTTTCCCTACCCTGAGCCATGGGGGCTTGTGATCCGGCACAGGAACCTTTGTGCAGTGAGTGGGAAGAGGCCTGGGTCCATGCTCTCACCCTGGGACTTTTCTTTTCATAGCTCGAGCCACGCTGGAAATCCTTATCCCTGACTTTGTAAAACAGACCTCTGAGGAAAAACCCAAAGACAGTGAAGAGCTGGAGGTAAGTGTCAGGGCTCCTGTTCCGTTCAGCTCTGCTCAAAGATTTACACATCCCAGCTCTAGGTGATTTTGTTCAAGTAAACTTGATTGACTTTGTGTAAGTAGAGGAAAAAAGTTTTCTCAGAGATTTTTGTTCCCTATTTTTTGCAGTGGATAGTAAGACATTGATTATGCATGATAAATGTTATTTGGAAGTGATCAACTCTGTTTACAGTAGATCTGTGATGAGGATAGCTTTTGAGGCACAAGTTATATTTATGTTTATATGATTTCTATGCCATACATTTTGTGCTTTTCCATTACATTAAGTACATCTTTGTATATTGATTAGTTCAATCATAACATCTAATCTGAGAATATTTGTTATCACTTCTAAAAAGAAACCTTGTACCTGTTAGCAGTCACTCCCAGTTTTCACTGTGCCCCAGTGCTCAACCCATGGCAAGCACTAATTTATTTTCTATCTGTATGGCTTTGCCAATTCTGGATGTTTCTTAATCAGTGTATGAAGTTCTTTGTGACTGTCTTCTTTCACTTAATATGCTGTGTTGACTGTTATCAGATTGAAGAAGTTTCCTTCTGCTTCTTGCTTGCTGAGAATTTTTATCAGGAGCAGATGTTAGCTTTCGTCAAATGTTTTTTTCTACATATTTTGAGATGATTAGGTGTTGTTTTGCTTTTTATTTTACTAATGTGGTGATAGATATAACATTACTTTTAGAATGTTAAACTGTGCATACACATGGTCATGGTGTATAAACATTTTTACATGCTCCTGTGTTTGTCTTTCTAGTATTTGCTGAGCTTTTGCAGTTATAATTATGAAGGATACTGAGTCTGTAGTTTCTTAGTATCTATCTAATGCTGATATTTGGGTAATTCCGGCTTTGGAAAATGCTTGTTTATGAAGGGTTGGTATTAATTTTTTGAAAAAATTTTGAAAAGATTTGTTTATGCCTAAAAGAACTGGGGTACAGGCCAGAGGTACGGGGGGGGGGGGTGGGATTCACCAGTAAGAGAGTGGGAAGCAAAACAGGCAGAACAACTGAAATACACTGCTACTGCTGAGGGGAGCAGTAGGAGAGATTAAAAAAAAAGGTCTGCTGCCTTGTGGGTTGGCCCCTGGTGGGCTATGGGTGGAACTTGTTGTGACAGCAGTAGCTTGGTAGCACTGTGTCTTTAATCTCTACATTATGAGGGAGGTACCAGATTTTCTATTTCTTAAACCAATTTTGAGGATTTGTATCTTTCTAGGAGTTTTTCCAGTTGATCTAGTTTAATTAATTGGAATTTGTAGTATTCTGTCTTGGCCCTTTTTAGGTCAGTAAAGTTGGTCCTGCCTTCATTTCTGGTTTTAGCACTTTGAGTCTCTTTTCCTCTTGACCAGTTTAATTAAGGTTTTGTCAATATTGTTTACCTTTTCAAAGGTCCAGCTTTCTGGTTCGATGTTTCATTCTTTGTTTCTCTTGCTCTAGCTTTTATTATTTTCCTTTAACCAGCCTCAACTATAGTTACTTCTTTTCTTGTCGTAAGGTATGATTATTAATTTGATACCTTTAAAATATAGTACTTAACAGCTATGTGTTTTCTTTTATATGCTACTTTAATTATACTCCTTAAGTTTTAGGATGCCGTATTTCAGTTTTCATGCATCTGGAAGTATTTGTATTTTCTCTTGTGAATTCTTCTATGAACCCATGGCTTAGGAGTGTTTATTGGTTTTCATATATGTGTGAATTTCCTACATTTCTCTTAGTTGTTAATATCTAATTTAATTCTATATGGTTCAAGAATACCATTTGTATGATTTTAATTAAGTCCTCTTACATTTGTTTTCCTATTTCCTAGTTCTGCCAAGTTTTTCTGTCCATTATTGGAAGGGGTATTGAATTCTCTAACTATTGTTGAATTGTTTATTTGTATCACTTTTGTCAGTTTTTGCTTCTTGTAGTTTGGATATATTATTAGGTTCATATATGTCCATGATACTGTGATATAATAAGAAATACATGTTTGGTCTTCATCTTGGTGCAAACCTCTAATAAACAATAAACTACTTGGGTTTTGTTCCTAGTTCTTGAAGTAACTACATATTGATAAAGGTTTAAAGTAATGTCTTTTCTTATTCTGAACAAACCCCTTTCTACCACACCTGATGCTTGTAAAACTCCTAAGGATAAGGTGGAGGTTGACTGGGGAGCTGATAAGTTGATAAGTAATTAGAGGGCTGAAACTTTCAGCCTCACAACAAGGTCTTTGGAGAGGAGAGGGTACTGGATGTTGACCTTAATCACGCATAGTCAGTGATTTAAATTAGTCATGCCTACATTGTAAAATCTCCATTAAAAAACAAAACAAAACCCTAAAGTGGTTCAACTCAACTGTGTTGGTGGACACATTGAGGTGCTGGGAGGATGACACACTTTAGAGAGGCATGGTGTAAAAGTGTCTTTATTTCTTTCCTTGTCATTTGCCTTAAGTGTCTTTTCCACTTGTATCCTGTTATAATAAACCAGTAAACTAATAAGTAATGTTTACTTTAGTACTGTGGGCTTTTCTAGCAAATTATTGAACCTGAGAGGTGAGTTGTGAGAGTCTCCAACTAATAGTTGGTTGGCGAAGTGTAAGTGAGGACCCTCCCTGGTGGCACAACGGGTTAGGACATAGCATTGCCAGCTCGCTGCAGCTGCTTCCGTATGAGTTCGATCCCCAGTCCTGGACGTGATACACATGGCACAGCAGAGCTCTCCTATCTCACCTGCTCCTCTCCCTCAGCAGTGTACTTCATTAATCTGCCTGTTCTGCTCCCCACTCTGTCTCTGGTGAATCCTCTCACTACCCCTGTACCTCTGGCCTGTACCCCAGTTCTGTATGCATAAATAAATAAATCTTTTTTTAAAAAAAGCATAGGTGATAGCTTGGATTTAAATTGACATCTGAGGGCCTTCCCCGGTGGTACAGGGGGTTAAATAAAGCACAGCATGATGAAGCTGCCTGTAGTCACTGCTACATCAGTTGGACCCCAACCAGGGAGGTGACCCACATAGTGTCGCAGAAATCTCCTGTCTTATCTGCTGCCCGTCATTCATTCTGCCTGTTCTGCTCCCCACTCTGCGTCTGGTGAATCCTCTTATCTCATGTACCTTGGCCGCTACCCCAGTTCTTCTATACATCATCTGATACGGTGGTGGCAGTCTTTTGGGACTGAGCCCTTAACCTGTGGGATCTGCAGTAGTTCCTGACACATTGTATATCTCCTGAAATATTAAGAGTAGTTTACATTTAATGGTAATTTCATTATCGTGATGTCGTTATAAAATATCCTTTATTTCAGGTAACTCTTGCTTTAGCGTCCATTTTATCTGATATAAGTATAGGTGCTCTTGTTTTCTTTTAGTTACTGTTTGTGTATAATATGTGCATCTGTTTGCTTTCAACCTATTTGTGTTTTTGAGTCTAAACTGTATCTCTCAGATACGACATAGCATTGAATTTTGTTTTTATCCATTCTGTCAGTTCTCTGCCTTTTGATGAGAAGGCTTAATCAATTTACATTTAATACAATCACTAATGAGGTAGAATTTATAAAAAATTTATAAAGAATTTATAAAAATTGTTTTTGGTTTTTGTTCCTCAATTCCTCCATTAGGCCACATGGGAGGACATTAAACTCAATTACCTACTTGATGGTAGGTACCATTAAATTAAAATGTATCATTTAAATTCATATATATTTATATATTTTATATATATATATATATTATTTTCTCAGTGGTTTTCCTGGGGTGTTCTAAATTGAGAGCAGTATTTTACCAACTAATATAATTAATACCAACTAATCTCCGTTGCATGTAAAAAATTTGTGTCTATATTTTGTTTCTTCCCCATCTTCAGACTGTTGATGTCTCAAATTATATCTTTATATTTTGTGTGCCTAGCAACATGTATTTATAATTACTGTTGTGTGTAGTTGTCTTTTAACTCAGGAGAAAAAGGAGTTAAGTATAGAAAACATTTGCTATATGTAGAAATATATATATATATATTTTACTGTCTTTTTACTTGCCTTTGTAATTACCTGTACCTTTAGCTGTGCTCTTTTGTGTGTGTATTTAGTTAGGTTACTGTCTGAAGATTCTTTAGTATTTCTTGTGAAGCAGACCTACTAGCAAAGATTTCTAATCCCAGATTTTATAAGAGAATGTCTTAATTTCTTTTTCATTTTTGAAGGTTAATTTGCTACATGTAGAATTCTTGACTGACATTCCTTTTTTTGACACTGGAAATAAGCTTGCTGGTCTCTAGTAAGCGAGAAGACAGCAATTACTTTAGTGAGGTTCACTTGTATTAATCAGTTACTTTTCTCACTGGTTTCAAGGTTTTCATTGGCTTTGGCCTTTAGCAGATATATCTAGGTATGAATTTCTTTGAATTCTTTTTGAAATTGGTTGAACTTTTTGGATATCTGTGTTAATGGTATTCATCCTTGGGAAGTTTAAACATTATTTTTTAAAATAGTCTTTTTCCATTATCTGTAAATTGGTATACTTTGTGATATCTTGAGGTTGCTGAGACTGTTCTTTCTTTTCTCTTCATTGTTTTTTTTCTTTTTTCAAATAAGATTGGATAATGTTAGCCTATTTAAGTGTGTTTACCTGCTGGAATCTGCTGTTGAACTCTTACAAGGAAATTTTTTTTTAACGATTTATTTATGCTTATAGAACTGGGATACAGGCCAGAGATATGGTGGGTGAGAGGATTCACCAGAGACAGGATGGGGAGCAGAACAGGCAGATCTACAGAAATACACTGCTGAGGGGAGCAGTGGGTGGGTCAGGAGAGGTCAGCCATGCCATGTGGGTCGCTCCCTGGCTGGGGATCAAACTCGTGCTGCAGTGGCTTCGGAGAGCTTTATAATATGGTGCTTTAACTTGTTGCAATACTAGGGAGAGCCTACAAGGAAATTTTTATGATTTCTGTGAAGTTATTTATACTATCTAT